GCCCTCAGATTTACACTTTTATTTCCTCTGTTGGCACTTTTTGAAATGAGGCTAGAAGACAACCTACTTCCTACCCTGACCTTCCTATTCCATTATCCTGAGTTCTTGTGGAATTTCCTCTCTATTTCTCCCTGGCTTTTCTTCACAGAGTTTCACATGAACCCTGCATTTGCTTGGCCTACCTTGGAGATCACACTCTTTTTATAGTTCCTGCTTCAGTTTGAAGTTTACTGAGATCAAAAGGAATTTAATGTCTTTTCATAATCAACATGCCATTCAAACTGTGCTACTTTTTCTATTCCAGAGAAATTATACAACAAAAATTGTTCAGATTGATGCCTATGGTGTGAGAATATGCAAAAACTTGCCTAGCTGCTCCAGATAAACAGAAAACAAAAATGCTACCTTAATTAAAATCAGACTTTAAACTTTATCTCCAGAAATGGCTTTTTAACAAACTATTTATTTTAATGTCCTTTTAGATACTTTATTCTTCAAACTGTAGTAGCTGATAAGTTTGTTACTCGAGACAACATTGTATTATGTACAAAAATGTCAAGGTAACATCTTCAAATTCTAGACAAAACTTAAGCACTGATTTAGGAGATGGGAAATAAAGCCACTGCTGGAAATCGAGGCCAGGCTTATTTTAGGTTTGATTTTTTGAAAAAATGATTCTAAAAATATAGCGTTGTTGTTCTCCCTTCTGTTTCCACGCTCTTTTCAAAAGGTGAATAGGTCTGTCTCAAGCGCTATAATGACAACTGCCTTCCTCAGATGCAAGATAAAAAAGCAAAAGTTAATGTTCTATTTCTGACTCAATTCCCTCTGCACTTTAATTTTCTCCCGTATTAGTATTTGGAAAAAGAATAACAAAGAAAGAGATGGAAAAGTATATAGCACAAGATAATTTAATTTTTCTCTATCCTGTTCATTGATTAAAAATCAAAGCTCTGGATACCAAAGGAGCAAACACCAGAAAATTTTAAACACTGATATTTGCAGTGTTTATTGCTCTCAACATACCCTCAAAAACAAAGGTATTTCTCTAAAAGCCTATGAAAATTGAAAGGTATACATATTTCACTTTTTACACCTTCATTCAAGAAGGAAAATGATACAAAAGAGGGTTAAAATCCCACTGCAGAGGTTGATATGTGGTCATTTTCTCATTCACCTGCACGAAATGTAGAGAAGAGCTTTGTTTTCTGTTACCAGCAACAAAAGTAAATTATTTGGCATATTAGCACCCAGCTATATGAGTATTCACGTGGGGCTACTGCCTCACTGAAGAAGACTCTGGGCCTCAGTTTTCCCACCTGAAATATGGGTGAGGTTGGAATAGATTTTTTAAGCCCCTTTCAGCTCTAGCATCTTATGAATCTATTAAAAAGTCATTCAAGCATCAGCACATGAAGCAAATATGAGTATTTCCAGGGTTTGGGAATTTTCTTCATATACTTTATAAATTGACATAGATTTTCTTAAAGAAACAAAACCTATCATATCTTTAAAAAAGATAATTTTTTTGTCTTAATCATGAATTTTTTGTACTCAGGCTCATAACACTGGTGAAACATATACAGATGACAATCTGCCATATTTTACCTAAGTGTTTTTTACTTATTAAAGTTACTTAAACTTATTTCCAGTTTAAGAGCTAAGTTAAATACTTAACACTTTCTCTCACCCAGTTATCCTCCAAATAGTCCTGGATATTAAGCAACTTGGGTTAGCCTCCTTTCCAGCTTTGCCTTTTGTCATCGTACCATACAGATTTTCTGAGATACTGGCTTTGTCAGAGGGAATTTCCTTTCTAGTTTTCTTCAAATGCAAAAACTCCCATCTCAATCAGCAGCCTCCTAAGCAGGGACCCTGCTTTGGATCTCTCTCCCCAGCTCCGACCCCTCAAATCCATCAGTTTCCTGGCTGTTTTCACCAACCCTTTGCGGCCTCACTGTTGGACAATTTCACAAGGCTTCCTCCACTTCTGTCTCTATCATTTCCTGGGTCTGAGATGGCCTTCCTCTTCTCAGCAAGGCCTGCTCATCCTTCCTGCAGGGCTCCACCATGAACTCTGGCAACGCAGGCCTGTACACAGGGACCGCTTCCTCAGCTCTCAGCTGTCACTGTGTGGATCTTTAGGTACATGCTAGCCGTATGATGACTCTGTACTGTCCTTATTTTCTTTTTCCTTAGAATTTTAAAGTCATCACTGATCCACGCATGACCCTCTTTTTTAACAAAATGATTACCTACGAACTTACCACGAAACCTGAGTACTATATCATTACCACTAACTTATCATCATCACCTATGTGTTCTTCCACATGATATCCTTCTGGTCACCCCAAAAAATAACTGTTGTTCCATGTTTTAAGTTCATTATTCTCTTACTTAAAAATCTCTTACTTCAACACACATATAAATGCTTGATTGTATTTTCACGATTTCTGTTTGCTTGTTTCCCTGGCTCATGTAAATTAACAATTTTGAAGAATAATTTGGTAAGATCTCGTAAGTTGAATATTCATACACCCCACCTATCAAATATTCCCTACCTAGGTATTTAGCCAAGAGAAATACTTGCATATGTGCCCCAGGACACATGAATGATCAAAGCAGCACTCTCTGCAATGGTTTTCAAGAACAACAAAAAGGCTATCTGCAGGAGAACAGAGAAATACATTGTGTTATAGACACATAAGGCATGACTCTTAATAACACCATGTTGAAGGGGGACAAGTCACACAATCAACAGATAGGATAAGACCACTTTTTCAAGATAAAAAAACAAACTTAAAAAGGAGTAAAAAAACCCCATTTTGAGAAGTCATGTTTTGTCTTCCCAAACTAGATGACAAACTCTTGAGGGCAGGGGCATTTTTTATTCTGATTTGTATCTCCCACATGCCTAGACCAGTGTCTTGAACAGTGGTGCTCCATCAGCACTAATCCACTGAATGATCACTGAAACCTACCTAATTTAGGACTTCTAATAAAATTTAAATCTTCTCTCTCATCTAACAGTTTCATTAATAAAGCTGCATAAAACTTATATTTACGTATACATTAACTTAACTCTATTTCTGCAGTGTAGCAGTACAGATGTCCAAACGCAAACATTTTATCCTGGAAGTACTTTACCTTTCTTCTTGGAGTAAAGTTAACAGACAGTTAAAGCAATCTAGGGACAAGAAAACTTATTCTACATGATCCTGTAGGAGTCCAACAGAATCGTACACTACAAGTAGGTGACATTTGAAAGAGATATCCCAAAAGGAATGCATTCGCTGAATGTACAACTGAGTTATCTCATCAAAACTGAAAATAAGTGCAAAAACAGTTTATAGACTTTCAAAAAGCAAAGCTTTTAATTTCAGATCATTTTCTCTTTGAGAGACAAAAATCACTTTTAGGGAGAAACATATAAAACTTGGGGTAAAAGAATAACAGGAATTCTATTCCACCAATCAGGGCCTTCCTTATAATCCAAGGAGGGCTATGCAGCTTTAGGTCTCTGTAGGTGATTCTAGTCAAATTACACTGCATCTTCCCTTCGACCTTGGGAACTCTGCTCACACTGAGTTACTGCGAGGTCTTCTGTTTCATTTATTACTAGTCTTTGTATCTGCAATGCTGTAATGTTAAATAGGAATATCAACACTGGGAGCTTGCAGTACCCAAAACTGTATAAAGGCTTCCAAAAACAAAGTGGGGGAGGGTTATGGCCAAGAGGAAAACAAAGTTAAGAATATTAAGATGAGATATTTAAAAATTCTACCTTTGAAGAAAGACCACATTTAATTAGCTGTGATATTACCATCCATTAGCCTGCAATTTTTAAATTTAAGAAAAGACGTTCAATAGAAAGTATTTTATTTGGAAAAATATCACACCTGAATACGACATACAATTTGTTAAAACTAGTCCAGCGACTGAAAAATGGAAATTGTAATACAGAAAAAGCCCATAGGACTTTTGCGTCCGGGAGAAAGAAATAATCGGGCAACCCAGTACGTTCACTTAGTTTCCTGTCATTTGCTTCATGTCCATTATGTAATGCTTTCCCCAGCTCTCTGTTTAAGCTACTGTCACGTATATCACAGAACTGCCACAAAATCAGTACAGGTCATAACTTTCAAAAAAAAAAAAGCTTAAAAGGTATCATGCAGATCTATAGACAGTAGAGGCTTAAAAAAATAAAATCTGCTGCTGTCATTACTTGTTCCCGGCTTCCTCCCCAGGTTTCCCATCCCCTCCTCCCCCAGATACCCAGGTGACCCAATCTGCGGGCAGTTCCCGGCTGGTTGCAGGGGAAGCACGTCTCGACTGCAATGCAAACGCTGTCCCGATCTGAACCAGGGAAAGCAGACTCGGCCTGCCCGAGGTGTGGACGAGGGCTGCAGAGAAGGCTGCAGGGACGCCAGCAGCTGATGGGCAGGGGTGCCCGGAGAAAACGGTCGCAGTGCACACGCACAATAAAACCCAATGCATAACTTCCCCGGCCGCTCCTCCCCGCTCGCCGGATTCCCTGAAAGGTGCGGCGTAGGCGTTAGCTGGAGCCGGTGCGGGCGCTCTCACCCGCGCGGGCTCCGTCCTCCGCTGACAATTACATCAGTCCTTCCGCCGGCCCCAGCTTCATCCCCCAGCAGCCTGGGGGAGCCGGCGCGAGGATTTGAGGGGATTTGCGGGTTCCAGAGCCACGCGGCCGGAATTCCCCAACAAGGGGGGTGGTGGCGAGTAGGGACCTTGACCCAGACGCCCCCTCCCATCTTGGCCGCCAAGCTGGAGAGCACCACCACCCCCGACTCCCGGCCGCCGGGCTTTTGCGGGCGGGCGAACCCCCCAGGACTGCGATGCTTCTGGGGCCCAAAACCGAGCTGCCCACCCGCGTGCCCCTCTGAGTCCTCGGCCCTCCGGACGCACAATGCCCCCAGCCCCGGCGCGGGCACCGTCATATCCGCTCTGGGGGTAACCTAAGCAGCTAGGGCACCTACCTGGAGGCGAGCGGTGGCGCCGCCGATCCTGCGGCAGCGGCGGCGGGAGACGGCCCGGCGGGCGGACGGGCGCGCTGGCTGGATGGAGAGCAGAGCCGCGGTCTCCAGCACCGACAGCGGCGGCGGCGGCGGTGCTGCGCCTCCAGTGGCCGCCGCGCCGCAGCCCCTCCTCTCCCACGGGCGGGGCGCGCTGGCGGGGCGGCGCTCCGGGCTCTCCGCCCCCGGCTGGCTGGCCGGGCCGGAGTGGAACCGCAAGCGGCCGGCTTTCCCCCGGCTCCTGCGCCGCCCGACACCCTTTACTACGCCGCCGGGAGAGGCTCCGGGGAGGTGCCCCGGACCTCCGACGCGCTGGTTCCGGGTGTCTGGGCTTACCCCGAGGCCGGCCCCCTTGGTGAACCTCTGGCTCCAGAGATCGCCGCCGTGGAGACCTGCTTCCCGGGGCCTGAGCGCCCGGGAAGCGTCCCCGCCCTCCCAGGCGGGCGGCGGTGGAGGGGCCGGCGTTCGCAAAGGGCGGCCTGGAATGGCCCCAGCGAGCACCGTGAGAAAGCGGATTCAGAAGGGAACAGCAGCTCCGCGGCCTCCCCGGAGGCGCTGCCAAGCTCCTGACCAAGGCCATCATTCGGGGTGGTCACTAAACCTGCAGGACTGTGTACCTGCTCCCTGCCGTCCCTCACGCTCGGGAGCAAAAACTTCTCGGGCCGAGATACACTTGGGAAAGAACGACTCGGTTGCTTAAATACCCACCTCACTACAACCCATCCCGCACAGCCTTTAACCGTTCCCAACCTGTGCAGGGGGGGGGGGGCAGATTAAGCTGAAGGCAATTTTGCTGGGAAAGAATGAGGTAAATTAAATATTTGCACAGACGTTGTTGCTGTGAAAGGATGAGAAAATCTCAGCAATATCTCAAGACCTTTCTGCCATCACCACCTTCAGGGGAAGAAAATCCAGAGAACACACTGTAACAGGAACTGTTTCAGAAACGCCCTGGAATGCTTTGTGGGCTCTCGAGGGGTCTGAATTGGATGAGTTGGGGGAGGATGCCTTCAAAAACCGAAGATATTGTTAGCCACTGAGGCAACTGTGATGGTATCTCAGTATTTGCTATAAAACATGGTCAATTGTATGCACTTTTTCTCACATACAATTTCTCTTGAAACTCCAATCCTACCTTTTGAATTAGCTTCTTCCACCTTAACTAACAATGTTTTTACATTGCCTTGGCATAAAATAATAGATGCTGGGCCCTTTGACACATCGCAGTTCCACCTTAACTCCTTCCCTGTGACTAACAGCCTCTCAAGCTCGCCACCTGGGCTCTGACCTTCGTTTGATCATCTCCACCCTTTACTCCTTCTGCCTGGGTTCCAGGAATGGAACTCTACTGAGACTGATTTCTTTCTAAAAAGAAAAGCAAAACCCCATGTAGAAGAAAATCCAAAAGTGTGAAAAGAGATGAGAGAGAGCGCACAGAATCTTTAACCTAAAGTACTTCCTAATATTTTTCACAAAACCTCTAATAGGGGGAAAAAAAACAACCCAAAACTGCGAACTCTCAGGGAGGGGAGACAAACGATCAAGACCGAAATCTCATGGGTTATCAGAAGAATGCTTGCCCGTTTCCCACTCTATTCCATATTATCTCTGTGTGTTTTATTATTTTAAAAAAACAGGTTTTAAATATCACAGCAAAAGTCTACTACCTGTCTCATTGATTAATAATCGAATAAGATATGTTGGCTTTGGGGAAATGGATTAAAGACAGCAGACATTGCATATCAAGGCAGTTTCTCCACTCTGTGAATCACAAAATTTTGAAAACCAAGATTGGCACAAATATGTAAACATGAATGACGATCTTTTCACTGCTTTTTGAGCTATAGCAGTGTTATGGCTCAGAAGTTGCCAAAGAGTGATGTTTTCATTCGTGTATATTCTTTTTTTATACAGATTTTATCTGTTTACTTTTAGAAAGGAGAAAGGGAGGGAGAGAAACACTGATCGATCACCTGCCCCCACCAGGAATTGAACTGTGACGTTTTGCTTTGCAGGACGACACCTAACCAAGTGAGCCACACTGCCCAGGGCTCATTAAGTGTATATTTTTGCTGAGAGTTTAGGTCACAAGTTACATGTTGGCTAAAAGTTTCTCTGCTCCCCAATCCATTCCTTTTATTTGTCTCAGAGAAATACTTGTTCACAGACTTTTTCAGTGAAGATAATGATATTCTCATGAATGCTACAATTTCATAACAAGCAAATGAGCTGAGCCTCATGTGAATCATAATCCCCACCATCCTTGCTTTTCATACAACTCTCACACTTCACTTTTGTTGCATTTCATTGCATACAACATTAGCTGGGGTTTCTCAGGAAGGCTGAAATGCTAATGCTTCACTGAAAGATGAAGTGGTATTTGTCGTTCTTTGACTGGTTTATTTCACTTAGCATAATACTCTCCATCCATCCATGCTGCTGCAAAAGTTAGGATTTCCTTATTTTTATGGCCAAGTAGTATTTCACTGTGTAAATGGACCATGCCATATGATTTTACTTTTATGTGGAATCTAATGAACAAAGCAAACTAACAAACAAAATAGAAACAGATTCACAGATACAGAGAACAGACTGACAGCTGTCAGAGGGGACTGTCAGAGGGTGGCAGCATGACTCACACAAATTCTAGCAAGTACTCCAAGCCCCAGGCAAGCCCTGAGTGCTGAAACATTTTTGTGTCATTGAAATGCAATGAGTGCAGGGTTTGATGAGTTCTGAAGCCGATGAGTACTGAGGTATGGCTGTATGTGGTGCAATATTACCAACCTGAAAAGACTGTCATGAGCTTCATGAGCCTGAAAAGACTGTCATCTACTTGGCCATGTGAAGTGTTAATGGACAGGCTTTATAAAAACAAAACAAAACAAAAAAACCCAAAACAAAAAACTGGGCCCAGGAACAGTCTATTACAGCATGGACCAAAGAAGAAATTTAGCTGTCGGCTCCCTTCATCTCCAATCTCCCACTGGTCAAAATGTGCTCCAGGTTGAGTGATCTATCTGGCTGCTCTCATTACGAGAGCAGCAAACCCCATGCTCTGCAGCCCTGGGATGGTGGTAATCGTGCTGAGTCATTCTGTAGGCAACCTGATTATACTGGAAACTATGTCTCCCAGAATCTCCTTTCCAATATTACAGGTGTGTATTTGTTAAGATAGACAAAACTGAAGTTATGTGAAATATGAGTTGTATTTCAACAAAAGTAGCAGCCATTAAACTCTAAAATTGTCATTGGTTAGAGGCAGCCAGAGAAAAATGTCCAGAGGCAGGAGGGTTCTTGTTTGCTCTGTGTTCTGTCTGCCAAATAACCATGACCACAGCCCGGTTAACAGACTTCACAGACCCACGGAGGTGGTGGTCACAGAGTCTGCACACCCAGAAGGTGTAGGACTCTCACACCAGCCCTCCCACACTGGCTGGGCATGCCCAGCTTCCACAATTCCCTGCAAGCTTGAACTCCTTTGTGTCAGGACTGCTCTCTGACCCTTCAACAATCTCTTTTCAGATCTTTACTGCCCACAAATGGGGAGGTCTAATTTCTATAATAAAGTCCTTATTCAACATAACTCATAGTGATTCTGTTTCCCTGACTGAGTCATCTCTGCCAGGGGCTTAAGCTTGTGGCTGATCTGTTTAGGAGGCCTGTCCTGGGTCAGTCACTTGGGGACAGTTGAGGCAAGGCACGTAGCTCAGAGACCTGGAGAGATGTGAGGCCAAGAGCATCGGAGAAAGTAGTCTAGCTGGGTTATAACCAAGCAACAAAAGTATTCATGCTGCTTTGTATTTGTTCATTGAGAGTGTTCAGTCTTAAAACTATTTGTATTATTACTAAATTAACCTACCTTGGTCAATCACTCCCATATCATCGCAATGGCTTATTCCACCTTTGTTAAGATATCATTTAAATGGAAAACTATAAATCAAATCTCAGTTGGACAGTTTTGACTAGTATCTTCCCCTCGCTATGAAATGCATCCTGAGTTTCCCATTTTGTTACAAATCTGAACTTGAACATAAATTGAGCATTCCTTTGTAATTTACTCTTTGTAAAGTAGTTCATTTTTTCTGTTTTGTTTGTTGGTCAGTTTGTGGGGTTTTTTAACCAATTTACCATCTTTACAATCTCAAAGAGAAAAATCAAAAGGCAAACTCTTTGAAACAATGAGTTCTTTCAGGAAGGGCACAATATTAGCTAGTGTTCTCGGGTGAGGGACCTTGATAATCACATGTATTGTCAAAATTTTTCTTAGCAAGAATATTTCCATCAAGAACACCTGGGTAGGCATCTGGCAAAACTCAAAAGCCTAATCTCCATGTCCCAAACTTCATTTAGTCCTTTATCCTTCATTCCCACACTGTCATGATCTGCCCAGGTGATCCAGTCCAGAGAATATTATTATGTCCACTTCAGAGTAAAGCTGTCATTCAGAGTGCCTATCCGAGTGTCTAAAAGGTTCTAGACCTGGGATTTGGTTTAGCATATAGGTTGTAAGAAGTTGTGTGTGTGTGGGGGGGGGGGTTTGGATTTTGATCCCTGTTTCATTCATTGAATTCAATAAATATTTATTGAGTTTCTGCTATGCGTCAGGCATTATTCTGGGTGCTTGAGATATGAATGAGCAAAATGTAGAGCCTGCCCTCATAGAGATTACATTCTAGCATGGGGAGAAAGACAATGCGCAAATAGATATAACAGACAAGTAAATTACATAGTGCATTAGAAAGTCATATATGGAAACTATTAAGAGCTCATTAAGAGAGATGGAAGTGGGTTGCTAGGTTGCAATCTTAAATAAGGTGGTCAGTCTGGGACTTGTTGAAAAGAAGACATGTGAGCAAAGACTTGAAGGAGATGAGGAAGTTATTCAACCAGATAAATGGAAATGGGAGGTTCCCCTCCAGTCACAGAGACCAGGCACTGCAAAGCCCATGGAAGAAGGATTCCTGTGCGGTTCAGGAAGGGCACAGGGTCCGGAGCACCTGGAACACCGTGAGTGCAGCTTTTAATTTTGTTCTGAGTGAGATGGGTATATAACACAGGTCCATGCAGTAGGGTGAAATAATTTAAGTTATGTTTATATATATATATATATATTTATTTAAGATTTTATTTATTTATT